CTGTGTGGGTTAGGTGATCGGCCTGTGTGGGTTAGGTGACTGGCCTGTGTGGGTTAGGTGACTGGCCTGTGTGGGTTAGGTAACTGGCCTGTGTGGGTTAGGTAACTGGCCTGTGTGGGTTAGGTGATCGGCCTGTGTGGGTTAGGTGATCGGCCTGTGTGGGTTAAGTGACTGGCCTGTAAGTGACTGGCCTGTGTGGGTTAAGTGACTGGCCTGTGTGGGTTAAGTGACTGGCATGTGTGGGTTAAGTGACTGGCCCGTGTGGGTTAAGTGACTGGCCTGTAAGTGACTGGCCTGTGTGGGTTAAGTGACTGGCCTATGTGGGTTAAGTGACTGGCATGTGTGGGCTAAGTGACTGGCCTGTGTGGGTTAAGTGACTGGCCTGTGTGGGTTAAGTGACTGGCCTATGTGGGTTAAGTGACTGGCCTGTGTGGGTTAAGTGACTGGCCTGTGTGGGTTAAGTGACTGGCCTATGTGGGTTAAGTGACTGGCATGTGTGGGTTAAGTGACTGGCATGTGTGGGCTAAGTGACTGGCCTGTGTGGGTTAAGTGACTGGCCTATGTGGGTTAAGTGACTGGCATGTGTGGGTTAAGTGACTGGCATGTGTGGGTTAAGTGACTGGCATGTGTGGGTTAAGTGACTGGCATGTGTGGGTTAAGTGACTGGCATGTGTGGGTTAAGTGACTGGCATGTGTGGGCTAAGTGACTGGCCTGTGTGGGTTAAGTGACTGGCCTGTGTGGGTTAAGTGACTGGCCCGTGTGGGTTCGGTGATCGACCCCTGTGGCGCCCAAATCATTAACTGGATTACATCCGACACCAGGGTCGCCAGAAAATAGTCAGGCCGCTACTGGAAGCATTTTGTCAAAGCAATTAAGGATTCGCTGAAATCAGACGTGAAAGGCCCATTTATCACAGCCTAGCTGTAAACCACAAAGTAGCGTGTTAAAAGCGCCTAAAGGGGCGGATACAGCAGAAGAAGAAAAGTAAAAATATGAAGAAGATCTCGCTAGAACTCTTTATCTATAGAGGCCAAGGGCGGCGTGGTCTCCAGGTATGGTGTTCTCCTCGAGTGCTAGAGGTTCTTTGTTCAAGCCCAAGAGAAGGCTGGGATCTGTTGTTTCTGTTCATGTGGACTTCTAGTAATGTCCCCTGGTCTTTGGGTAGTGAGATCGGAGCCCGTGTGTATTGCTGCGCTCGTAGCCAAAATCCCTAGGCAGTAGGAAATCGAAAAGAGTAGCCTAACAGCTGGCGACAGAGAGGCAGGGCAATAGGTAGGTCTAGTGACAGGGGAGAGAAAGAGAGAGAGAAAGAGGGTGGAGAGAGAGAGCGAGAGGGTGGAGAGAGAGGGTGGAGAGAGAGGGTGGAGAGAGAGGGTGAAGAGAGAGAGTGAAGAGAGAGAGGGTGGAGAGAGAGGGTGGAGAGAGAGAGAGAGGGTGGAGAGAGAGGGTGGAGAGAGAAAGTGGAGAGAGAGAGGGTGGAGAGAGAGAGGGTGGAGAGTGAGAGTGGAGAGAGAGGGTGGAGAGAGAGAGGGTGGAGAGTGAGAGGGTGGAGAGTGAGAGTGGAGAGAGAGAGGGTGGAGAGAGGGAGAGTGGAGAGAGAGAAGGTGGAGAGAGGGTAGAGAGTGAGAGTGGAGAGAGAGAGGGTAGAGAGAGGGTGGAGAGAGAGAGGGTGGAGAGAGAGAAAGGGTGGAGAGAGAGAGGGGGTGGAGAGAGAAAGGGTGGAGAGAGAGAGGGTGGAGAGTGAGAGTGGAGAGAGAGAGAGGGTGGAGAGAGAGGGTGGAGAGTGAGAGTGGAGAGAGAGAGGGGTGGAGAGAGAGAGGGTGGAGAGAGAGGGTGGAGAGATAGAGGGTGGAGAGAGAGAGGGTGGAGAGAGAGAGGGTGGAGAGTGAGAGTGGAGAGAGAGGGTGGAGAGAGAGAGGGTGGAGAGAGAGAGGGGTGGAGAGAGAGGGTGAAGAGAGAGAGAGGGGTGGAGAGAGAGGGTGAAGAGAGAGAGAGAGGGTGGAGAGAGAGAGAGGGTGGAGGGAGAGAGAGGGTGGAGAGAGAGAGGGTGGAGAGAGTGGAGAGAGAGAGGGTGCAGAGAGAGAGGGTGCAGAGAGAGAGAGAGAGAGAGTGCAGAGAGAGAGAGAGGGTGCAGAGAGAGAGAGAGAGAGAGAGAGAGAGAGAGAGGGGCGGGGGGAGTCTGCCTTTTAGCATTCAGCGGCTGTAAACTCCTGCGGACTGTTTAGGTTGTTTCAGAATTTTCCAACATCCGTTTAACAGACATATCCCTCGACCGATCACCTGGTTAACATATCATTCCTTCTATCGATCACCTAGTAAACATATAATTTCCTCTACCGATCCCCTGGTTAACATATTGCTTCTATCGATCACCTGCTAAACATATTACTTCCTCTACCGATCACCTGGTTAACATACGAATCCTTCTATCGATCACCTGGCTAACATTTCAATCCTTCTATCGATCACCTCGTTAACATATCATTCCTTCTATCGATCACCTGGTTAACATATTCCGTCTATCGATCACCTGGTTAACATATTATTCCTTCTATCGATCACCTGGCTAACATATCAATCCTTCTACCGATCACCTGGCTAACATATCAATCCTTCTATCGATCACCAGGTTAACATATCATTCCTTCTATCAATCACCTGGTTAACATATCATTCCTTCTATCGATCACCTGGTTAACATATCATTCCTTCTATCGATCACCTGGTTAACCTATCATTCCGTCTACCGATCACCTGGCTAACATATCATTCCTTCTATCGATCACCTGGTTAACATATCATTCCTTCTATCGATCACCTGGTTAACATATCAGGGGAGGGGAGAAGGAGGGAGGGGAGGGGGAGAGAGAGGGGGGGATGGGAGAGAGAGGGAAGAGGGAGAGAGATAGGGGGAGTTAGGGAGAGAGGAAGAGAGAGGGGGGAGAGAGAGAGAAAGGGGGAGAGAGAGGGGGAGAGAGAGAGGGAGAGAGAGGGGGAGAGAGAGAGGGAGAGAGAGAGGGAGAGAGAGAGAGAGAGAGAGAGAGAGAGAGAGAGAGAGAGAGAGAGAGAGAGAGAGAGAGAGAGAGAGGAGAGAGGACGTCCACAAAAACCCCCCTCCGGCGACCGACCATCAACGAGTCTGACCAAACCAGAAGCCGAGTCTACAGGCTGCGATTCAACGAGCAGAAGCTTTACAAGTGCCAGCTGCCACCCCGCCAGGGCCAGGTTTCTCGTCACACAGGAAGCCACCGGAGACAACAACATGTAGAAGAGGACAGGCTTCGGAACGCGACGGAAGCCCCCAGAAACCGCATGTAAAAGTGGACAAATTATGCGACACCAGGTTGCGACAGGGCAAGTCGGTTTGTAGGATCCAGGATCTAAGTCTTCTCAGAGGCCAAAATGGTTAACATCGGGATCGTCACAGACCAGAAACCCAAACCCAAGCAAAGAAACCCTCATTAATACAATACAATTGGCAAAGATCCGCGGGCCACTAGTTAGACCTCCACGTATTTCGAAGGTCTGAGGCGACCCCTGGGAAAGGGTCGTTCGACCACAAAAGGGGTCATGGCCCATAGGTTGAGAACCACTGTACTAGCGTATTAAATCCTGACAAGAAAATATGGTAGACTCATGAGCAGCGCGTATATTAGGCATAAGCTAATTAAGCTTCAACTGAGGGCCCCAAAACCTTAGAGGTCTTACAAACTTCTTACGTATTTCAAAAAAGCAATTTTCTGAGAATATTTATTTTTACGAAAAAAAAAGTCCTTAGAAATTTTTCAACGTTAATATTATTCTAGGTAGATTATATCGGGTTTTTTTTTTTTTTTTTTATTCTTAGTTGTAACATATTTAAAATAAATAAAACAATCAGCTTGATATGCACCCTAATATTTCTCTTTTTATGTTATACATTTTAAAGTTATATGAAAAGACACAATGTAATTTAGAATTACAGGGACATTGGGGCTTTATATATCTTAGGGACTTATCAACTCTAAATACAGCCCTCCTAATCATGCGCTACCGGAACAGCAATCACCAGAGTCCTGCAGCAGCAGAGTGAGACAGAGCAACTACAAGTCTGCTCGGAGTGCAATAATGTCGACTCTGCGTTAACCTAGAGCTGACAGATGTAGTTTAAGAAATACAATGCTAGTGGAGGACAAATGGCGTTGACACTATTTTCAAAGATGGAAATCAGCCAGTTGCGTGATCTTGGCTGGCACGCTTGGCAGCGCAACAACTACAGGTTGACATGATGCACTGAATGGCACAGCGGCTAACAACTAACTAACCAATCAACACAAGAGAAAGATAGGGCAATGAACGGGCGAACAGACAAACAAACAGATACACTGACCTAGCTGATGGAGGAGAAAGATTAGGCAATGAACAGACAAACAAACAGTGGAACTAACCTAGCTGACGGAGGAGAAAGACAAGGCAATGAACAGACAAACAGTTGAACTGACCTAGCTGACGGAGGAGAAAGATAAGGCAATGAACAGACAAACAGTTGAACTGACCTAGCTGACGGAGGAGAAAGATAAGGCAATGAACAGACAAACAAACAGTTGAACTAACCTAGCTGACGGAGGAGAAAGATAAGGCAATGAACAAACAAACAAACAGTTGAACTGACCTAGCTGACGGAGGAGAAAGATAAGGCAATGAACAAACAAACAAACAGTTGAACTGACCTAGCTGACGGAGGAGAAAGTTAAGGCAATGAACAGACAAACAAACAGTTGAACTAACCTAGCTGACGGAGGAGAAAGACAAAGCAATGAACAAACAAACAAACAGTTAAACTGACCTAGCTGACGGAGGAGAAAGACAAGGCAATGAACAGACAAACAAACAGTTGAACTAACCTAGCTGACGGAGGAGAAAGATAAGGCAATGAACAAACAAACAAACAGTTGAACTGACCTAGCTAACGGAGGAGAAAGATAAGGCAATGAACAGACAAACAAACAGTTGAACTGACCTAGCTGACGGAGGGCTGCAGCCTTGATCTGAGGGGCCAACGACTCTGCCTGGACGAAGGCCTCGTACGCTTCCTTGGCTTGTTTGTACTTGCCCTAGAGATGGTCAACACAGTCATGCAGACCACACCGGTCATACCAGCCTGTCTTAGGATTTACCATATCTGTCTAAGCGGTCTGTCGGTCCATGCAACCATTAATCAGTCAACCAATCAATACTTTCTTTTTCCAATATACTTTTTTTTTTTTTAACGTATCCAGAAACCATTAGTTGTAAACCCTTTGGCTCGGTACTATGGATATCGCAACCCTTCGGCCTTGATTCCATTATAGGTACCGTTAATCTGGGATAAATGTGGCTTTTCTGCCTACCCCCGTGAGCGAACCCGGACCACAAGGAGTTCGTCACCCGGCCGCCGCGAAAGTCAGGTTTAACCAACTTCGCTAGAGAGCCGGGCTTTTCCAATATACACGCCCCCCCCCACCCCCCCCACACGACAACCCCACCCACCCACACATACACTTTCCTTTCTTCTTCTTCTTCCTCCTCTTCTTCTTCTTCACGTGTTTTCCTTGCAATGGCGGTTGGAATGTTGTGGTTGCGGTTTACAGTTAGGCTGAAATATCTGCGCCTGTCGGCCCAACACCAAGACTTCAGCAAATCGCATGTACAACATGCTTAATAAGGAACAGTTGGACTATTCCAGTGGTTCTCAACCTTCTTAACGCTACGACCCCTAACAATAAAATTGTTTTCGTTGCTACTTCATAACTTCAGTGAATTTGTGGTTTCCGATGGTCCTGGGCGACCCCTGTGAATGGGTTTTTCAACCCCCAAAAAGGTCGCCACCCACAGGCTGAGTACCGCTGGTCTATCCGCCCCCCCCCCTCCCTTCTCAGTCCGGAGGACACATTAGTCAATCCACCAATTAATATACTCATCAATAAACCCATAAACACGCCAGAACATTCTCCCACCAATAAATTTCCCCATTCATCTCTAAGTTAGTTCATTCATCAATTAACTTACCCAAAACTGTTCACTAATTATCAACCAAATCAATTCAGCAGTCAATTCAGTCAACATTAAATCCATCCAACAATCGGTAATCACTTTAGTCACCATCCATTTGGGCAGTCCATTAAAAAAAAAAATCAATCTATCTACCTACATAGCTAATGAGCGACCTACTTTAAATACCTGTCTGTCTACTGATCTGATACATGTTGTGTGTGTGAGTGTGTGCATAACACTCATTAATCCATCGTTAAATCTACAGCTGACAATCTTCTTTATTATTTTCTACTATTGTGACCACTGCTGCTGCTGCTATTACTACTGCTACTAAAGCTACTGCTGCTATTACTACTACTACTGAAGCTGCTGCTGCTACTCCTGCTGCTGCTACTGCTACTACTACTATTACTACTACTACCACCACCACCACTGCTGCTACTGCTACTACTTTATTGGTCCGAGCCACGGAACTGACTTGTGTACGCTTACATATCAGCTACGCGAGTTGCAGCTTTCGTCTGACACACCCAACCTTTGTTTTCCATGTTGGCTTTTCTGGTTAATATCACTGCACATTTCACAGGCTCCTGTGTCACCTGATAGTCCGGTTGTCTACCTACCAAGGTCCCCCCTAAGACAGGCATCAATCAAACTGCAGGCCCCACGATGTCAACAATACGCTCCACACACCCACCAAACCAAAAATCGCGATCTAAAAATGTATCCCCCCCCCCCCCACACACACACACACACACACACCGCTTAGTGTCCTGCGGTGGCAGGTACGGGTACAGTACAATGGCAAACACCTGGAGATAAGGCTAACTGGAACATGGTGGCACTAGAAAGCAATTCCTACAGGTGAGATTCACAAAAAGGCACACTTAGCATTTCAACAATGGACGACTCACCTGGATCTCATACAGATGTGCGATGTGTAGACGAACTGTGGAAACAAGAACAATGGAGACGCCATAAAACAAACGTCTGTGTGTGAGCTGTTAGTGCGTGTGTGTGTGTGTGTGGGTGAAAGAGAAAGAGAGAGAGAGATAGGGGAAGTGGGAGAAGTGGGATACAGAGAAAGAGAGAGAGATAGGGGAAGTTCGATACAGAGAAAGAGAGAGAGATAGGGAAAGTAGGGAATAGAGAAAGAGAGATAGAGGAAGTGGGATACAGAGAAAGAGAGAGAGATAGGGGAAGTTCGATACAGAGAAAGAGAGAGAGATAGAGGAAGTGGGGAACAGAGAAAGAGAACGGACTAATAAGATATACATACAGGCAGCAAGGCAGACACATTGAAGCGAATATACAAAAATTGTCAGATAAGAAGATAGTGGCAAATAGTCATCTTGGTTAAAATTTATATAAGATGCCTCAGCTGGCTTATTTCAGATAGTCATAATATTGCTATCAGGCCAGTGTCATAAATGGTTTGAATTTTAGACATGCTCTCTCTCTCTCTCTCTCTCTCTCTCTCTCTCTCTCTCTCTCTCTCTCTCTCTCTCTCACACACACACACTGCGTATGTGTGCGGGTGTGTGTATGAAAGACACACACACAGGCAGAGGGAAAGAGAAAGCGACAGGGGGGGGGGGGGGGAGAGAGAGAGAGAAAGAGAATCGAACCACATAAACTCAGATTTTAAAAAAATTTGTCTGCGAATTCAAGTGGATGTTTATTATAACACGATCTGTGTCTCCCACGCTGACACAGCCGCACATGGGGCCCAGTAAACTAATGTCGATTGGCTTATACAAAAAAAATAGATCTAGCTCCATTTGCTACAGGTCCTTAACTTTACTTCCGCGAAAACAATTAATAATACAGGCAAAAAACGAAGCAGAAGATCTCGTACCCAGGAGCAGAAGATCTCGTACCCAGGAGCAGAAGATCTCGTACCCAGGAGCAGAAGATCCCGTACCCAGGAGCAGAAGATCCCGTACCCGGGAGCAGAAGATCTCGTACCCGGGAGCAGAAGATCTCGTACCCGGGAGCAGAAGATCCTGTACCCGGGAGCAGAAGATCTCGTACCCAGGAGCAGAAGATCTCGTACCCAGGAGCAGAAGATCTCGTACCCAGGAGCAGAAGATCCCGTACCCAGGAGCAGAAGATCTCGTACCCGGGAGCAGAAGATCTCGTACCCGGGAGCAGAAGATCTCGTACCCGGGAGCAGAAGATCCCGTACCCAGGAGCAGAAGATCCCGTACCCAGGAGCAGAAGATCTCGTACCCGGGAGCAGAAGATCTCGTACCCGGGAGCAGAAGATCCCGTACCCAGGAGCAGAAGATCCCGTACCCAGGAGCAGAGGATCCCGTATCCAGGAGCAGAAGATCCCGTACCCAGGAGCAGAGGATCACGTATCCAGGAGCAGAAGATCCCGTACCCAGGAGCAGAAGATCCCGTACCCGGGAGCAGAAGATCCCGTACCCAGGAGCAGAAGATCCCGTACCCAGGAGCAGAAGATCCCGTACCCAGGAGCAGAAGATCCCGTACCCAGGAGCAGAAGATCCCGTACCCAGGAGCAGAAGATCCCGTACCCAGGAGCAGAAGATCCCGTACCCGGGAGCAGAAGATCCCGTACCCGGGAGCAGAAGATCCCGTACCCGGGAGCAGAAGATCCCGTACCCAGGAGCAGAAGATCCCCTACCCGGGAGCAAAAGATCCCCTACCCGGGAGCAAAAGATCCCGTATCCGGGAGCAGAAGATCTCGTACCCGGGAGCAGAAGATCTCGTACCCGGGAGCAGAAGATCCTTTACCCGGGAGCAGAAGATCCTGTACCCGGGAGCAGAAGATCTCGTACCCGGGAGCAGAAGATCCCGTACCCGGGAGCAGAATATCTCGTACCCGGGAGCAGAAGATCCTGTACCCGGGAGCAGAAGATATCGTACCCGGGAGCAGAAGATCCTGTACCCAGGAGCAGAAGATATCGTACCCAGGAGCAGAAGATACCGTACCCAGGAGCAGAAGATCCCGTATCCAGGAGCAGAAGATCCCGTACCCAGGAGCAGAAGATCCCATACCCGGGAGCAGAAGATCCCGTACCCGGGAGCAGAAGATCCCGTACCCAGGAGCAGAAGATATCGTACCCAGGAGCAGAAGATATCGTACCCGGGAGCAGAAGATATCGTACCCGGGAGCAGAAGATCCTGTACCCAGGAGCAGAAGATACCGTACCCAGGAGCAGAAGATATCGTACCCAGGAGCAGAAGATCACGTACCCAGAAGCAGAAGATCTCGTACTCAGGAGCAGAAGATCCCGTACCCAGGAGCAGAAGATCCCGTACACAGGAGCAGAAGATCCTGTACCCAGGAGCAGAAGATCCCGTACCCAGGAGCAGAAGATCCCGTACCCAGGAGCAGAAGATCCTGTACCCAGGAGCAGAAGATCCCGTACCCAGGAGCAGAAGATCTCGTACCCAGGAGCAGAAGATCCCGTAGCCGGGAGCAGAAGATACCGTACCCGGCGGGGCGGGAAATTAATGACGTGTGCTCACATGTAGCCCCTGACCTGCATGAGTTCTGACACAACAAACTCAGTGTCAATCCGTTCCGCAACCCCCCCCCCAGTTCCCATCTGCTGGCTTCTTTTCTTTGTCCGGGTCCTTGACAGCCTTGCCACCGCTGCAGTTCATCAAACGTAGATGCCCGTGACACGCGCTTATGTCTGTAGGGAGTAACTTGTGGGCTCAGTTCAGGAGGACCCGGCTATGACAGTTGTAATCAGGAGGGGGATAAAGCTAGAGCCACGCATGGTACGTGCGCGGACTCGGAAATCTGTTGACACAAGTCAATGGGCGGATACCAGCTCTTGCACCTGCGGCTCCTTGCGTCGACTCTTGATTGTTCCATCGACTACTCTCCTGTTGCTACAAGGGCGCCGAAATTTGAGAAGGCGGGTCACTTTCAGCTCCCCCCCCCCCCACCCATTTTTAGAGTGGGGACTGCGTCACCATTTCCCTCCTCCCACATAAATCCGATGTTTAGGGTCCGATAGGAAATGTGAAAGGGAACTGAATCCGAACCAAGTACGAACTTTGTGTTTTCGAGTAATAGTATTCAAACTATTCGTCCCTATATGGATTCTGGGGCTTCATATTAAGAAAAGGGGGAAGGCAAACAAACTCACTGCCTCCCTCTTCCCCCCCCCCACCCCCAACAAAAAGGCAACTAATTGGGGGTTCCTTTGAAAACAGAGTACACCTGCTGAAGAGACAAGCAAAGCAACAAACAGTCTGAGCACACTTAAAAACAGGATGTGCACGCAAATAAATCAAGTTTTGGAACAAGGCCAAGGTCCAGAAATGGACGAACAACCAGAACTTTACGCTGGAAGAACGCGAAGAAGAAGAAGAAACTATTTTTAATATTAGATTTTTTTTTTGGGGGGGGGGGGGGACTCAAATAATAATCACAATTATTATTACTGTACACTATGCTCAATGGGCCTAATTCAAGGTAAGTTCTAACCATGACTTAGGCCCATGAGCGCCCTCCTCCCGACCCGCTCCCACGTACCCCCATATTTTATCTGTGGCGGTTTCCCTGTGTCGCTCTCTTACCATTTCATCGTCTGCCATTGTTCATAACAGCTCATCAGAAAGCTGCTGTCTGTCCTTATATATTTTCATTAAGTCGACGCCCCGTGCCGGCGAGCTCATCTCCTAGTACATAATTTACCCACGTTTAAGAGGGATCAGCTGAGTGAAGGAGGCCTCATGCGATGGATAAGAGGCCGCGTCACAGCACTACGACAAACATTTAACAGCATTACAGTGAAGAAGACACTGGGGGTGGAATTACCGACACGCGTGAGACAGATGGGCATTAGGGGTTAGTTTAGAGAAGGAGGGTCGGCGCCAGGGCTACCAATGCTGGTTTCCCCCCCCCCCCCCCCCCCCCCCCCCAGATCTGGGTTTGTATTTGACGCCTGGGGGAAACCTAGTTTTTTTTTTAATTTTTTTAATACATCCTTATTTAAAAGTGGTAAATGTTTCGTTTCGTAAATATTTTTTTACATTTCAACAATCTGGGAATTTTGTTGTTGTTGTTCTTTGTCTATGTATTGCTTGGGTTTTGGTTCAGCTAAGCTGGGTTTTTCAAAAAAAAATCCCATTGACAGCTCTGGTCGGCGCAGACGATAGGCACTGAGTTATCGACCCCGAGAAGCCTCATGTGCGGGGCTGCTACAAAGACAATGTTGTTCTTTGTCTCCATTCCGAGGGTCGTTGTTTAGGATCATCTTGAAGTCTCTGGTTAACATGAAGAGAAAGAACCAATGAACTCAAGTTGTGTTCTTTCTTGCATTGTTTTTCATTTTTAATGTCTGGGGTTTAGCCGGCGTGTGCGGAGTGCAGTGTATGTGTGTGCGTGCGCGTCTTTTACCTCTTTTAGACCAGAGCAATAGCGCCATGTGTCAATATCCCCGGAGTCCCACTCAACGCACAATGTGTTCCCTTATATTTCACAACTGGCAACAGAAAACTAAAAGTTCTGATTTAACTATTGGAAATCTCCACTGTATATTTATTTAGGCACTGTGAAAATAATGTACTCGTTGTTGTTCTAGCTGTCTAGTAATTCAAAGGGCGGCTAGCAAGTGGCCCGCTGATCATTGCCAATCGTATTGTATTAATGATCTTTCTACAAGGCAGATGTGGTTGGGAACAAGCAACGGAATTAGTAGAGAAACAAGAGTATTATGGCATGGAGTGAATGAGGCACCAGAGGGTCTGGCCAGCTCACTACACTCAGAGGAAAGGTACGTAGTACACATAACCAGATTGTGACCGGTACCATCAGTAATAGAACTCTGCGCTGGTTGCTGAAGACGACGACGGAGCATGCACGGGAATGCCCCGAGTGCTGTGATGTCAATTCTTGACTCAACTCATCATCTTTCTATGATAAGCCTCGGACCACTGACCCGTGACGATTTCTCAAATGTCTGACCCCAAGTAACTGCGTGGAATTAGCCCTCGTCTATAGTTTCCTGTCGGCTATGTGGCTAAGTCGATGCGAAAGCTTCGTAATGCCGAGATGCCGGGTTCGATCCCAGCTGCGGGCCATGCGTCTTGCGAAAACACTCAAGTACTATAAGGGTTCAATTTAGTTTGCTAGCATTCCATGAAGGCTGCACTTTGTTCGAACACCAATTAAGCTGTCCTCTGCCTGCGCCACAACTGGGCTGTCCTGCTGTTTTTTCTACACTTTTGCAAGTTCATTATCCTGTTTGGTTTCCAGCGCATACATGCATAACAATAAACTAGCCTTCTCGGATGCTGTCTAATCCCCCATGAACTCGCACTAATATCCATTGCAAATTATGGCCAAATCTGTAAAACGGGTGTGCACGCATCACTCAGGTTCTGGAACAAGACTGAAGTATGGAGGTGGACGAGTAACAAGAGCTTTGCGCCGAAGTTTACAGCCGGTGAAAGCAAACATGAAGAAGGAGAGCATATTGGCACTGCCCTTGTATTGTTAACTAGTATGTACAAGTCTCTTACACATTCAATTTTGTTGGGGGAGGGGGGTGTGGGGTGTTGGTGGACGAATGCGCCCGTGTCTCTTCTAATGGGTCATTTGAACTTGTGATTTTTAAGTAGACAGAATGAGTGTATTACGAAGTTATATTTGTGTAAAAAGTGTCATCAACAGGATTAGTCTTTTATATGTTTTGTTGAGGCTAACTGGACCAGTGGCTGTGAATTCATCCAGGGCCCCATTCTCTTGAGCGACTCCAGTCGGATCTCAACCATACATATCCCAGGCTTGGCCTGGCCACTGCGGGCACCCATTTGCTATCCCAAATGGTTAGCTCCCGGAAAGTTTCACACCAGACCGTGACATCCGGGGGACATCATTGATGCTTTGGCTTGAGTGTTGTGACTGGGTGTAGAAAACAAAAGCCTGCGCCTGTGAGCATTGGAGTAGCGTTCACAGAGGCAGTCTTCCTACCTCCTGGTAATTTTACATCTAGCCAAAGGTATGCCACCCTTTAAAAAGGCGCAATCGATTTGGTAACCACATGTACACACAATTCAAGATAGGCGTATCAGCCATGTGCACATATCAAAAGGTGCCTCAGACAGCAGAGCATGTACTCTAGGACTGCATCGAATTTGACACATTGGGGCAAACCTCTTGATCCAGTGTGTGTGTGTGTGTGTGCGTGCGCGTATGTGTGTGCGCGCGCGTATGTGTGTGTGTGCGTGTGTGTTTGTGTGTGTGTGCGCGCGCGCGTATGTGTGTGTGTGTGAGAGAAAATGATTTTTACAACACATAGGTTAGTCACAATCTCAGAAAGTCAGGCAGACACACAAAAAAGCAGACCTGCACATAATAGTCACAAACTCAGATAGTCAGGCAGACACACAAAAAAGCAGGCCTGCACATAATAGTCACAATCTCAGATAGGCAGACACACACAAAAGCAGGCCTGCACATAATAGTCACAATCTCAGATAGTCAGGCAGACAAAAGCAGGCCTGCACATAAATAGAAGACAGACAGTGTGAGTGTGTGAAAGTGACAGACAAGACATATAGGTGGACTGTGTGTATGAGAATTTGCGTGCGTGTGTGTCTGCGTGCGTGTATGTGTGCGCGCGAGTGTGTGTGTGTGTGTGTGTGTGTGTGTGTTAGAGTGTGCAGGTGAAAGAAACTTGAGCGGCCCGCATGAAAAGAGAAAAAAAAAAACAATATGAATGTCTTACTTTCTGGCTCCGGACAAATGCAAGGGTTGGAGTCGGCTAAAGTCAACTTGAAATGCTGCAGACAACAACAAAGCAAGACTGTAAGCATTCACAATCTCAAACCAACACAATGAACAACTCAAATCAACTATTGTCTCCGCAATGAAGGCTGGCTGCAATACATCTCTAAAACTGTTTTAATCTGGCGCTGAATGTAGACTGCGAGAGTCACTACTTTATCATAATCCTGTACATAATACTCTAATGAAGTCACATCACAGTGAGTATATATTTTGGTGTGTGTGCTGTGTTGTCTTTGTTTGCCGATGAAGGCTAATTGTCGCAACTTCCCGTGTAATTGATTCTGTAAAGCTGAAAAAAACTATTTTTTTTTTTAACGTTTTTTTTTCCTTCTCCTCCCTATCATGTCATACCCTTTGTTAAACCTGGTCTGTATGTATCACTTTGTTTAGGGCGGTGCAGACAGGGGGTCGCGAGACTGATGCCGCATTACTAGTGCTGTCGCCACGGAATACAGCTTTGCGTGTGTGATTCTGCCCATAAAAGTTCAACAGCCATCTTAGGTCACTTGACCTCCGTTAACAAGCTTAGGTGTGGGTGTCAGGTGGGGTGGGGGGGGGGATATGGCCCAAGACCGAGGAGGTTGCCAACACCAAACCTCCGAACCGGCCAATCCAAATGTCCCACAAGTCCCTTAGGTAACTCAAGTCCCACAACTCCCTCAAGTCCCACAACTCCCTCAAGTCCCACAACTCCCTCAAGTCCCACAATTCCCTCAAGTCCCACAAGTCCCTCGTCCCTCAAGTCCCACAACTCCCTCAAGTCCCACAACTACCTCAAGTCCCACAACTTCCTCAAGTCACAAAACTCCCTCAAGTCCCACAACTCCTTCAAGTCCCATAACTCCCTCAAGTCCCACAAATCCCTCAAGTCCCACAAATCCCTCAACTCCCACGTCCTCAAGTCAAGTCCCTCAAGTCCTTCAAACAATACGGAGAATTCGCATCTATAGCTACTGGCGTCAAAATGTATCTTGACTCTCAGCACTGGCAATCAACCATCCTCTGCGATCTCTTCGTCTTCTTCTTCTTCTTCTTCTTCTTCTTCTTCTTCTTCTTCTTCTTCTTCTTCTTCTTCTTCTTCTTCTGCCGTACTAGCCTCAGTGGGGCAGAGACCCTCAACAAACTCAAGCTAAGTCGTTCTATCCTTTGCTATTGCATTCTGCTCTCCCCATCTTTTTAACTTCCCTCTCTAGCTCCGTTCTCCGTTATTTAGTATTTTGTCTTCCTTTATTCCTACGCATCTGTGCGTTTCAGTGCAAATACATTGTAGTTATATTAATCTCAGGGTTTCCCAACGTGTGTCCTATCCGACGCCAGCGTCTTTGTTTTACCTCTGCGATCTCTTGCTGCTTTCATGTGACTCCTGAATCAACCATCCTACAACCCGAGTTCTCTTCTTGTATGTCTCAGTTTCCTTCGACAACGAAACACATTTGGAAATCACGAAACCCATAAACGTCTAAAAGATGAATAATCTTGACCTGTCATAAACGGAACAAAACCAGCGTCTGATCCTTTTTAAACAGGACGTGGGTTGACAACTCTCTCCCTACATCTCTCTCTCTCTCTGTCTCACCCCCCCCCCCCCACTTATTTTCATTAGCACTCACCCGGTGTCATATTTTTCGTCACGTAAATCTTTAGCACAACGCCGTTTCCATGGGAACGCCCCCCCCCCCCTTGCCAACTGCCCTGCTTCATATACCCGTGTGGGTTCCAGGGCCCCATTGGAGGGGGGGGGGGGGAAAGAAGAAATGACTCAGTGTCCCGTACCCCTCTTTTCGTACAAAGTGACTAGTAAGTAGTTTGTTGAAATCGGATGTTTTGTGACAATGCTTAAGGCGATCTCGGAAGTGGCGATTTTCGGTTCTGAAGAACAATGTGCTTATCCCTGGTTATTTTTTCAACTTGAATTCTTATCTGGATAACAGGAATTTCTCATAAGAAGAACTATGTCTTGGGTCGCCGGTGAATGTTTATTATTTTTAGGTCTACACTGTATTGCAGAAGAACAACATGAAGGATGAATTACTCCAATATAACACAGAACGAGAAAAAGAACACAGAACGAAAACAGAAATACAGACAACGCATGGTGAACTAACCCCTATCACAGTAGACCAAGAGGAACATGCAACACTCATGGTTAACACCAATTATCACAGAAGAACAGAATGAACATACAACACACACGGTGAACGACCGTTATCACAGAAGAGCAAGAGAAACGTACAACACACACGGTGAACACCCGTTATCATAGAAGAGCAAGAGAACACAACAATACACACGGTAAATGATCGCTATCACAGAAGAACAAGAGAAACATACAACACACACGGCGAACGACCGTTATCACAGAAGAACAAAAAGAGTAACATACCATACGAATGGCAAACTACCCACCTTCAGACTGTTGTCATACTGCTTCAGCACCTTAAACATCAAAGCTAGCCTCAAATGGACTTCTGAGGCACGTCGGAATCCCGGCTCAGCGTACAGAAGCTTCTGGAAGACTTGAATTGCCCTGGGAGTTAGAAACAAACGTTTCACGGTAACAGGTAAACTCACAAAGGTCATCAGAAAGAACATTATGTGACAATAGGTGCACATGTGAGAGTGAATTAACGAGGCACAGTGTAAGGTGATTGATTTCACAGTTTAAAAACAAGATTAAGGAGTACTAGCGGGGGAGGGGGTGAAAACCCTGGTGGGTGGGGGGGGGGGGGGAATATACGTAGGGTCAGAATACCATTTTATTGGTAAAAGGTACGAGAATTTCTTAAGGGTTATTCGACAAAACACTACAAGGCAAAAGGGGCATTCAATGGCGGTTATGCAAAGCAAAATAACAGCAAAGGTTAACTCCATACGGGTGACTACTATACAATATTACACGAGCAAAAGTTTTCAACTAGCAATAACCACGCCTCGGTAAAACCTCATTGGCTATGGTATCAGTGGACCAAGAGATGAAGAAAAGTAGCTGGCGTTGGATAGGACACACATTTAGAAAGCCGGAGAACTACTTCTTCTTCAGCGTTCGACATCAGTCATGCTAAACATTGAGTCCCGACTGGGTCACTAATAGGATTGTGCGTTTAAGGTCGCCACCGGTCCCCCATAGCTATTCTTGCAATGTGGCTCCATTGGGCCAGATCCACAGTCCGGAGAACAATATAACTAGAATGTCTTTGCATTGGAACCCAGGAGGGCATATGAAGGCCCATAAAATGGAAAAGAGAGCTGAAGAATGAAGTTAGAAAAGTGGGGAGGACATGGTGAGAGCTGCATGCAATATCAAAAGATAGAACGACTTGGCGAGAGTTGGTTGAGGGCCTATGCTCCATCGGGGGCTAGAAACGCAGAAGAGAATTACACGAGGATGACGAATGCAAGGATTTTCTGTCTGCTCTTTCATATCTTCATCATCGGTTAGCAGATCCTTTACAGAACATCACTCTCGTCACGGCACGCTTAGAGGTCTTTTTAGCAAATTCTCCAACCCTATGTGCTTTCGCAGCCAATGCATCTTCAATGTATTATTTATTGTACCCACGTTCTCGGAGAGCTGCCTCTGCCTCGTTTCCCGGAAACTTTCCTCCATGACGGCGCCCTCCAAGTCACCATGACAAATAAAATGGCGGCAATGCCCTCAGCTTTCAGGACAGGGTGCAGTTTTTGAGGTAACGGCTCTCTCAAATGCGTTACATACATTTGAATTCATTTTTTTTTTTTTTCAGTTGTAATTGGAGCCTTCGCTTTACTTCCTATTTTTTGTAACCCCACGACAGTCACCTTACTTGTCATCATGCAGACGCCTTTGTACTTCCATTTTAGATCTTTTCGTCTCGATTAATGCCACAGTTCCGGGGGTGTTACGACGGTGTGAAATGAACATCGCCCCCCCCCCCCGCCACCCCCCCCCCCTCCCGCCTTCCCCCGGAGCCGCTTTCTGACAATATAGGACATTCCCGGAAACTCTCGGCTTCCCCGAGATGGGGTGAACTAATAAAAAAAGTACCAATGTGTGGGTGTGTGCAGAAATGTCTCTCTCATCACGGCAAGGCGGACATCCGCCCGACAAATGTCCCGCCCTCATAACGTTGCACACCCAGGGTGCCCTTGACACCCTGTGTCCACGGTCGTAGAGGTCGTCCCTGGCTGGCAGTCTTCCACTGACCACACTCTCCATTTCTAGCCTCCCCAAACCGTTACGGCATGTATCCTTCCCCTTCGCGTTTACAGACCGTAAACTCCCGACTGTTCGTCCCCTTCTGGACTCTGGTCTTGTACCAAGACTTGCGTTTGGAGTGAACGTAAGATCTGGCTGACTAGTGTATAGACAGTTGATTCCTTGTTTCTCAAACAGATGACCTCTGACTGCCAAGGAAAACCCTCGAATTGAGGGGCAGTGGGTCCATTCTACCCCTACCCTCCCCCTCCCAAACCTCCAGAATGGGCCCCGAGAAACATACCGGAAACGTTTTTTTTTTTTTTTAGTATCCAGAAGTCATGAGTTGTTAACCCTTAGGCTCGGTATTATGGATATCGCAACCGTTCGGTCTTGATTCCATGATAAATACCGTCAATCTGGGAGAAATGTGCATTTTCTGCCTACCCCTGGGCGTGAACCCGGACCACAAGGAGTTCATCACCCGGTCACCGCGCGGTCCGGTTCAGTCAACTACGCTAGAGAGCCGGGCCGGAAACGGTATTTACCATGGCCGAAGAGTTCAGTTTATCGGGAGTTTTCTTCACCTAGGATTCAAATCTATGCCCCCCCCCCCCTTTCCCCCTAGCGTTCTTGTAACTAACGGCTCGGTTAGCCGCTACTGGAAACCATCGTTACCACCTGCAGTTACCACATGTTTGGAACAACAGATCAACAGCATGGCATAAGGTTGGTAACTCAAGTTGCCCGTTCTACTTCAAACTCAAGCCCGAGTCCGAAAAATCTCAGCCCAGTGCACGAGCTCCGTATAGCACTAGTGAGAATCCTGAACTACACAGGGGAAATTTTTGAA